CTGCACCTTCTACCGCATTTACCATGGAGAGCGTTCGGAGGAGTTGTTCGGACTAATAACTGCAGCTGAGTTTCATCATCGGACGTCAAGGCAGAATACAAAATACCATCCGTATCACCTTGACGTCCGTCGTTCCACAACTGAGCGATTCTTAAGGCAATTTCTGCCGTGCACCACCACTATGTGGAACCAGCTGCCCACTGAAGTATTTCCGAACCAATTCGACTTAGGGTCCTTCAAGAAAAGAGCGTACTAATTCTTAAAAGGCCGGCAGCGCAAACCTTCTGGCAGTGCGAGTGTCCATTACTTAACATCAGATGAGTCTCCTGCCCGTTTGCCTCCTGTAATATTAAAAAAAAAAAAAGGGTGCGTGTACTTATGTACGCGCGTAAGAAGTTATACTTCTTTGGCATTATTAAAAATAGTTTTTGATTGCATGCAAATAATTAATTACAATTAAATAATCAAAGACTGGAAAGGAGTCATTAAAGTCAATAAAGTTCAGTTTACATTTGAAAAATTAATTAAATAAATATTTATTATTATTCTCTTACATTAAACAAATAAAACACTATTTATCTTTAAAACATTTTTATTTCATTATACTATTTATTTTTAAGTGACTCTAATGTCTTCATCAGAATTTCGGTTTGTAATTTTAAATTAATCATTACTTGGTTGTGCATCTACGAGGCTTCTCCAAAACTACTTGCTTTCTGCAACAAATAAGAGAATATTAATTTAAGCTCTGTCCATGCAAAACTTAAAAATTTTTATAATTCATATTATAAATTTTTTAACACTTGTGTAACAAAATGTGTTAATAATATAATTTGTAGCACATGCTACAGACCTGGATAGCAACTTTCTTTTATTCTATTTAGAGATAGAGATAATTTAAATATAATACCGGTGTCTTCCTTGTAGGTTTCTTTGGAGTTGTTTGGGGATTCTTGTTGTTCAGTTCGACATGATTTTCTTTAACCTTTCTTTAATCCTACAAAATAATGAAATTGTTAAGTTATGTTGTCACTGTTGTGCACACCTTTGTTTGGCTTTTTTAGTATTCAAGTTATGTCAAAACTGATTTATTACCTTGTCATTGTTGGCTTTATTTGCTTTTGGGAATCAAATTATTTCCAAAAATGATTTTATTTGTAATAACCTGAAATATATAAATAACATCTATTAATTTAAGTATCATGGTGAGTGGTTCGCACTCAGGTATTAAGGTGTATTATACCCACTGTCCATTATAAGTGGGAATGGGCTCACTTCTGGCAGGACAGAGTTTCGGTACTACAAGTGCAACATGGATGTTTTGAGGTATTACAATATCTCTAACTACCCTGTAGGGGAATAAAAGTAATGTTGTAAGCATATGCCTTGCTTGAAAGGTTGAACCTTGAACATCACCATACATCATATTTATAATTAACATTCCTACCTCGACACCATCACAATCAAATTCATTGAAATCTACTTCAAACCATTGTGTCTCGAGAAGGTGATGGTGGCTTTGTTCCACCTCCAGTTTTTGATGTTTCACGGCGATAAGATGACAACTCTTTTTTTGTATTCAATTTAGTGCACTTCCACTGATTCATCAATTGTTTTTTGTCTCTTGTCCTTATATTTGCTAGATTAAATCTGATGAAATATTCTACGACCCTATATATCAATAATTGAGAACAAAGATTTAAGCACGAATACTAATAAGGAGAAAATGAAGGCTTGGAGCGATATAACAGAGAAGTAAACATTTTAATAAGTACCTCTCTCAAAAAAATACCACATTATCATCACACTCCACTCTCAATTGTTTTTTGTCTCTTGTCCTTATATTTGCTAGATTAAATCTGATGAAATATTCACGACCTTATCAATAGGGTCGTAGAATATTTCTAAAAAGTTGCTGTAACAAACGCAATAAACAAAAGCAATGAATAATGGTTCATGTTTCAGTTTTAATCAACAATATCCGATAATACATACGGATAGTTAACCTCAATTGTATTGAAGCACTCAGGAAGGTTAGCACAGTTTTTTCACAAATATTTTATATTATTTCACAAAATATTTTTGTATAATGAAAATAACTAGGTATATAATTATTAATTTTAAACAATAATTAAAACTCCTATATTTGTTTAAAAGGTAAATGTCATTGTCAGATGTCAATTGTCATGGTCATTCAAAATTCTTGTTAAGCTGCTAAGCTAGATATGCGTGAAGTTAGCTTCACGCATATTCTATTTCTTTACTTGTAGTTTGTCTTATTCCCATCTCCTCCGCACGCTATTCACACTCCCAATTTTGTGTCATAGGTGCCGCGCAATCGTAAAATTTCCTCTCTCAATTTTTCATAACGCGCCTAAAGAAGTACAACTTCAAAAACAAATATATTATGTAGGTGATACGAAGTTCGTACTGCATACTCCTCCTTCTCCCTTATGGCTGTTCCGTAGGCTGGTTTGCCTTTAAAAAACTAACTATCAAATCGCACTATCTAAAACTACTCATATCGATAGTTTTCTGGTGTTTCTTGTTTAAAATATGTTATTATGCAATTTATATTATTAAAGTTATATTTTCTAAGAAAATTATAATAAATAAATAGAGGTATCACATTAAACAAATTAAACAACGATAAAATATTTAAGAAACCATATAAATATAACATAACTCCGACGTTCGGGGGCTTTTCAGCAATCGTAATTAGCGAGAGACTAAAACGTGTGTGTGTGTGTGTGTGTGTGTGGCACAATAGAATACATATGAATAGAAGTTAAAACATTAATCGTACCAAGTGTCATACCTCGTTGCTATAATATTGATTATTATGATATTCGCAAAGCACACGTTTCGTTTAGTAGATTGCGTTGGTACTTTTAATTCACATGACAATCATATCTTTTATGGCTAAGTGCTCGTATCTGATAGTAAAATTCCATTTGGCCAAAGCTTTCAGGGATTATCGTCTATTCAGATAAGCCGATAACAACTTTCATATCAGGCGTTAACTTCACTTTTGGATCAATAATTATTATTTCGACATCCTACGAAAAGATGTTACAACGTCTAAAGCTCGCACAAATTATTACTTTTTCTGTGAATGTCAAATATTTCTACCCAAGTTGCCACTCAACATTATATATTTTTATGTTCATTTGAAGAAGATTAAATAGTAATGCTGAACGTTGAAACCTATATTTTCATTAATTTCCTCATTGGACGTGAATAGTCTCTCAATCTTAATCGATGTAGTTCCGAGCGGTTACCGCTATTAACATTTGAGTGCTTTCTTATTAAGCTCAGTGTTAACATGGGTAACCTTATTACTGCGCCGGCTTTTGTGTTGTACACGCCTATAGAGCCTGCTATTGTATATAATATAGTTAACATTTAAATACACTTATAACTTAAAGTAAAATAACGAATTATTCTTCTTATTCGTATTCATCCCACTTACCTATAATTGTAAAGGATTTCTCTCTATATTTACGCAATTAATACTAGCTACGGTGAAAACAACAAAAATGATCCAAGATCTAAAGGTCGTTGAGGTGTCACAAAAGACTAACTGCCCATACAGAATTATGATAAATAACAATAAAGAGAAGAACTAAATGGTATTTGTATGAATTATGTGCCATTAAGGCAAGTTTTTAATTCAATCTCGCAAACTTTAAGAGAACTCCATTACCAAATAGGATTTTCACCGGGTAATAATCGGAGTATGTTACGCTAAAACTTTAATTAACTTTGTAATAACACTTCAATTAGTGTAATTATTTCGCAGTTATGAACTAACACACATGTCGTGGTTTTACATAAACGCATAACTTGACTGCGCTCAGAATTCGTATGATAACAAATTCAATACAATAATATATTTATATCCTATTAAGTATCATCAGGCTATATGTTATGATTTTGTTTATATATTATTATTAATGGTTCATTTATTCTTTGTTTCATGTATTCTTCGTGGAATAGGTAAGTACCGTTAAACAAAAATATTAACAAATTCAATGTAGCGAAATAATCTCATGCATTGAAAGTTTCAATTTATTGTGGAACATTGTTTAGAGTCCTAAACAGTTTATAATAATAATAAAAACTTTATTTATGACAAAAGGGTTGTGACAGAATTCATATATCGCTAGTCCCCACACTAGGGAGGCCCTGTGTTGTGGGTAACTAGAAAACAATTATTACGTGGTACATGTTAAAATTAGTTTAAAAAAAAGATAATAATAATAAAAAAATAATAATAGTTATAAATTAAGTGTTACAAATAAAGTGAATGAGTGAGTGTGTGAATGGATGTGTATGCGCATGTATTAGAGAGTGTAGCTGAAAGTTGTTATGATCGTGCACTGTGTCTGTGTTAGTTTATGAAACCTCAAAGTCATACCAAGATATGTAGTAATGCCTCTGTAGATTCGAAATCCAATTTGGCTAGTGTAGTTTCTATGTGACTTGCTAGTTTATATCTGGATAGTTTTATGATCTCAGAATCCATTGATTTGGAAATGTTTTTATAAAGGAAGGGTTTAAGGCATACAATAGGAATACCCACTGCTTGAAGTGTTTATTCGCTCTAATTAAAGCTGATGTACCGCAATATTAGGGGATTAGAAAGAGAAACAAAGACCAAACGATAGAACGTTTCGGTTAATCGAATTATTCTCTTGGTCTAATGGAAAGACGGATCGTGTCGAGTGCCGGTGAATAGAGAAAATTGGGATAAAATCGCAGTTGACCAATCACAATCGAGCCAAATGTGATACCGTCATCTTTTGCTTTAAATTATAGATCTAACTAACATTCGGCGACTATATTATTCAAGTATACAACCGATTTAAGAATTCTTGTTTTTCTAGGTATACATTTTATTTCACTTAAGCCACGTCGGACGGTCGTAGTGTTTGTTGGCTGCTTCGGAGCTAACTCTGTCAAACAACTTTTGAAACATACATTCCTTTTTACCAGTAATGATAGCGCGTATGATATCTCAAAATAATAAGCTGAAAGTCAAAAAGTTAATTGACAATTTTGTGATTTCAGACCGAGTGACCTTTAAGCCTGAGAGTAAGTTCATGGTTTGAAACTTATGTGTTTAGAAATCGGCGCTTTAATACGTAAGCTAGATAACTAATGCTTCGTAGTTTAGAATAATATTATTAAAATATATATTTTAATATTTAAATTGTATGTGACTGTGTTTTTAAAAACTGGGCAATAAAATATATATACATATATATAAATCTGTAATGAGACCTCGTAACTATGAGGAAAATCAATATACACGACTTAAACTTACTGTATGACATCAAGATATTTTACTTCACTTCAACGAGCATAGAACCGTTTGTCTAGGCTTTATTTTTTTATGTTTAATTATTTTGACAATTGATTACATTGCGTTGGAATAATAACATATATGTATGTCTATCCGTTGCTGACCAGAAAACTCCTGTTATGGACCAGTTTCAGAATTTGATGTAAAAAATTACGGGTTTTCCTAAAGTAATGTTTACTAAATTGATAAAGTGCTTTAAAAAAATAATAATAAAGCAACGCAAATTAATGAAAAAAGTTCACCACATTGGGAGTCTTAAAAAAATGTTGTGAAATAATTAAACTAAACAACAAGCAACAACAAAAACATGTTTTACTGACACTTTCATTATTTTATTCAATTCATTTCTCATAACTCTTTAAGAACTGTATTGTATGTATAGTTTAATAGGCAACTCATACAAAATCTCTTAGAAAGAAACAAGTCGTACGCCTAATCTATCTTGTAAGTCAAAATGCCAAAATCTTTAATCGCTTATTCGAAACGAGTCAAACTTAGTAAATACATTTCAAGTGTATATTTTATTCGAACAACGTTCCCGTCTCAATATTCCTATTGTCCATAATAATGAACTCCAACCACGAACACAATAATGAAGTGCTTTGACAAAGAATACTTGACTCGAAGCTGTCGAATATCGATTACTTGTTATGGCTATGATACTTTCAATAGTAATATTCAATTTCATTTAACCTTTTCAGGTATTATTCTCTTTTCGCTCCTCCTAACCAAAAATTAAGTAAATGGATTTTCCCACTTTAAACATACCTGTAAAAACAAATTAATATAGACAAAATATACATATATATAAAAACAATTACAATTTATATAGTTGTAATAGCGTAGGTCGCAATTCGATATAGTTTATTAGTCGTGTAGAATTTTATTTGCAAACACCCAGTTATTTATATGCAAACATAATGTAAGCCGATACGGACAGCGTGACGACAGCTCAGCCATTGAAAGCTTTAAATGGGATTTCATTAAAAAAAGTTTTACAAACGAACCGCGTGGAGCTTTATTGCTTTTCATATATTTTGTCAACATTTCTGCTTTGCGACTTCGCTTGGTCGATGAAAAGATTTGCAGGTGACAAAAGTCGCTTCAAATAGCTGCTTGTTTTGAAAATGCTTGAGAGCGTTTCTGTTTCAAAAGATTATCTTCATTAATTTATTGTGTTCAAATCATAACAATAAGACACTTTAATTGTGGCTCGTCTAAATTAATTCTCCAATTGAGTCTCCAATTAAAGGACGAAGCATAAGCGTTAACCTAAATATAAAGTAAAAAGTGCGTTTAATAATAATGCGAGTATATATATATATATATAAATAACTGCTGCCGCTAGGTAAGCTGTAAATAAATAAATACAAGCTCTAAGTATTTCGCAAAAACTGACCCGTTTTCAACCGCACTAGCATTGTGGTATTTTCATACAACTTTCACATGAGCGCCGTTAACCGCGTGACGCGCGTCAACGCGGCGCTCAAAAAAAGTCTCTAACGCAGGTGATCGCGTTGCGCGCTTTGATATTAATGTAATGTCCGTTTGCTGTTCAGTGAGCGCGCGCTTCGCGATCGCATTAATTTTGTTAATTTTCGTAATTATATTTTGTTCTCGCATTTAAAATGAGTGAAATTGAAGATATTGACATCGACTTACTAATCGATGGTAGAAAAAAGGTCACAAGTTGGAATGTAGCAAATTTGTATAAAAATACAATATAATTTGTTTTTTTTCAAAATTGGACCCAATGTGTACGTTTTCTTTTTCTATTTTTTCTTTATAATATAACCACAAAATAATAGCCTCTTCCACGTCCATTTTCTACGTTCTACAGAACTAGACTGACGAGTCTCTCGCAACGCGCGTTAGCGCTCATCATCTGAACGCTCTTCAAATTTCATCGCCTTGACGCGCGTTAACCGCGTTACATGTGAACAAGCTCTAAGTATTTAAACAAGATTCTGAAATTATATCATATTTCTGATCAAATTGAAATAGTATCTAATATACACAGTTGTAAATACAAGCCACGAAAGACAATTTGTAGGTGAAAAATATCCACGGGCAGCTCATTTATTTCGCTAGAGTTGGAAACAATTTTCAAAACAACGCCGAAGTAGGGAAGTTTAACAATATTTCTCGAGTTTCTGTCTTCGCTCCTTATCTTCACGTACTTAGAAAGTTGTTATTCTGTACCTACCCTCTAAATTAATCCCATTTGAGCTAAAGGTGTAAATAAACCAGAGTAATATTTCGAATGAGTCAGGAGTTTCAAAGGTGAGTTGATTTTGGAACCACTGAAGCAGCTATAGTCATTTTTCCTCGTAGTTATTACTTTAACAAGACTGATGTTTAGATTAATACAATGTCTATTTATGCAAAACTATGATAGAGTAAAAAAATTGATGCTGTTGATTTGTACTCTCAATTTGAAACACTTTTCCAATGACGAATGTAAATATCCCAAGTACCCAATTGTAAAAGTTCCAAAAAGTCTTTTATTAAAACGAATAAAGAGGTGTTATAAAATTCGCTGAATTTGAATGAATCAAAATTCTGAATTAATTACAACTTTCAATTCGCTGAATGTTTTTGACAGAAGTATGCATATTCAGCAGACTAAATCTCAATTTAACTTTTTCCATTTATTGTTGCTAACACACATAGCCGTCGTACTAATCCCTATCTATAGTGCATAATTATATCATGACAAGTGTAAGACGAATAAATTCTCAGTTCCAGAGACCTGTTCGCATCTAAACAAAATCATCGCAATACATAAGTAAATACAATATATACCTATTTCGAAACTAACATATGTATACAGATTGACGTCGTATCTTCCGTCGTAAAGACGCTCAATCAGTTGACACGATCGTCTCAGTCACTATGGAGTATGTTCTAGTTGTGTGATAGTTCCGAACTAGGGCAATAGACGTAAACCTGTTTATACCTATCAAAGTCTCTTTACTGACCGTTGCACGTTCGTTAAACGTGGCAACAACACATTATGCACACGCATTTCTGCGTGCGTTTCACTAATCACTGCGATGAGGTTCAAAGGACAACATGTATTAGTAATAACGTTAATGTTAGTAATACCACTGCTAAGACCTTGTAGGATATAATAGTGCTTTATTCGAGAATATTTAATATCAACATCCGACAATAATGCAAACAAAGAATAGGAGAAAAGCAGGAAACAAGATCTCCATAAATATATTTAAATTTGCTCCATATCCGTTCCTCGCTTATTAAATAAGTTTCTGATGCATTGTGACGTAATTTTATAACAAACATGCTGAATAATGGAATATGCTCTCATTGCAAATGTAACTACCTCTCAATACTCTGGGTTCACTATGACATAAGTAAAACCTCGTCGGTTTTTAATTAAATGTCGGCAATTTCCGGCCTATGTTTCTTACTGCGGGGTTGCTTGAACTTTAGCCTGACATACCGCCTGATCAGTTTCTTTCATAGACAGGTCATCAGCCTTCGACGCCTGACACAATATCGTCACTGTGATAACCTCATATGTCAAAAAACCTTTTATTTTTTATTCTTAGATTTATGTCATTTAACTTTAATAATGAAGTAACTCCTTTTTATCATTCAAAACTATGGACAAAAACACAATAATATTTTAACGAACATTGTAACTTTTTCGTTTCCTGTAATGTTTGGTTCTCTGGTTATCATTCTACAGCGACGATATGTCACCGTCTTTAAGCGCACATAGAAATTCAATCACCTCAGTAGAAAAGTTCGAATTTTATATTCACAAAAACGAAGAACTTTGCTACTTTCATAGCAAGATAAGGTTTGAGGTAAACTCGGGCCTTACACATTTACGAAAATGTCATCACGATGACAGGCCCCGATTGGCCTCGAATGGCGTGGCATCATTTGGGGTGACGATAGATAAACGTTTTATATGACGAAGGCGAGGTATGCTTAAAATATTCCGGAATTTAGGGCGAAAACATTTTCTCTTAAAACATTACCTGGAAGATCGATTTTGTTTACTTTATGTTCCAGAGAAGTGATTCTGAATGTTCCACTCAATATTGGTAGGTTAATGTATAGGTGACTTTGTGATTAGCTGACTTAGTTAAACTAACTGCTTTTTTAACTACAACAAACTTTTGCATAGTAAATGCATCTGCATTATTACACAAACAAATCTGTTGACAGCTGATGAAAATGGCTCCGTGTCCGAGACGATACCAGACAAGCCAGTGGAGCTGAAGAATTTTCCGAAGCTGTGTGAGCAACGGCGCAAGTTCCCAGTCCTCTACAAGCTTGAGTTTCAGGTGAGTGGTTTTGGCTTGATGTGTCATCTTTCATCATTAATTATTGATGTATTGTATAAGACTTACTTCAACGACGCAATTTAGCTTAGAATCTACAATGACTAGTTTATTGCAGCTAGAGACGCTTTGGCTCCACACCAAGAGAATAATCTTGATAATGGCAGCCATCTTTAGGACAACTACAGTTTGATATTTATATAGTACTAGTGGACCCCACAGACGTTGTCCTGCATGATATTTAAAGCGATTAGGATATTAAGCAAAGTATGAAAGTACCGACTGCAGTGCCATCTGCCGGGCTGATTTGTGAATCTAAACCATTCCCAGATCCCCTTGAACACACACAAAAAATTTCATCAAAATCGGTCCAGTCGTTTGAGAGGAGTTCAGTCACATACACACGCACAGAAGAAATATATATATTAAGATTTCAGGTAACTAAAATGGAAATACTGTATAAATACAGGTACAAAAGCGCAATTGCGCTTACATTAGGAAATAAATGGGCATTAATGATGCATTCATTGAAATTATATACATTATTTTGAAATATTTCATGAATTTAATACGATTTAGTTAAAATTATAACACATTAATGCCTCAATAAGAAGCTAGTCTCCGTTTTAGAGCTACCAGCTTTGTTAAAAGTTATCTTTAGAGATTATTTTACCTTATAGAGAAATGTATATTTCACATAATAATCTCTTAAATCTAATTTATTACTGTCAGGTAGGATCACTGTGGTAGTACTTAGCAGCGACGTATGAAGTAAGTAACTGTCCAGAGACTTAACGACTTGCGAAAGAAGGCATTTGGCATAAAAACTGCATACGCAAATGAGAAGCTTCAAAGAAAAAGTAGTACGCGTTAAGTTTTGTTAATTTTAAATCACATCCGCGTCTTCATCTCATTAACGCGATACAAACGAATTGGTAATCAAGTCGTTCTCTTTATATTTGGCGAATTATAAAACAGGTCACCGAGGTGCCTATAATAAATCTATCAATATTCTAACCACGTCAAAGCCGTTACTTTGTGGAGTTTTCAAAGGTCAGACGCTTGTAAAATTAAACTTATTCATACCATTTGGAGCCGCTCGTGCAACGCTAAACGAAAAAAAAACATTTGAAACCTCCACGCTTCGTGAATCGTATTTCGCGATGTTTGCCAAAACATGATATTGCGGCTTTATTTAACTGGATATATCGTCAGTTAAGCCAAGCAAAGTGGACATTGGATAAATAATATAACGACTTTTAGTATTGTCAGAGACACTATTTTGCATAGCATTCGACAAGTTAATGTCTGATGAAAATAGTAGGATATGACATGATAGGATACAGCCAAAAGCAGATTTGATAGCGACAACGGTGCACTATTTGCACGTGTATTATTTATTTATTTGCATTATTCACTCTACTTGTAACGCTTTCTAAATGAATATAAACTAAATTTGCAAGCGCCATTTGACAAATATGACGACTAATTTACTACGAGTAACTACTCGTAGAACTCCATTTAAACAAACACTATATTTGATGTGTCACAGTTCTAATGTTATTATGGTCTAAAGCCCAACAAATACTTATGGAGAATTTGTTCTGCTTTATTTTGATGTCAGGTAGCCGTTCTTCCTAACTCCCACTATCATTGGTGCCACAACGATGGCAAGAAGTATCAGCAAAGGTGATCATGAACATCCGTTACGGGCGTCGTTACTGGAGCAATTACCGGATAATTAAGACGCTACAATTACGGGAACTAAGGAGAGCCAATTAGAACGTCTCACGATGTCTCAGGGTCGGTGGATTGTCACACCTGTGCGATAAATAACGAGGGTATTGTTACAGAAATTACTCTTAAAAGGGCGTTGCTCAGAGGCCAATTGGCCGGAGGATTGGCCACAATAAAAGTGTTCTAATATTTTCATCCAAATTAGTAAAAGGTACAAATAATAATAGTAAATAACGGCGATTGAAATATTGATTTCAAAGTTTTAGTTTTGTTTCAATTCACACAAGATAAAATTATAATATCAAAGCCATGAAATTCTTATACCAATGTCCATATTCTATACCCCAGTATTTCTGACCCCGGAGTGGAGAATCGGGCTACAACTAAACACAACGATGTTTATTGTCGAACGGAAAAGCTTTTTGAGCTTGACAATAGTCGTTCGTTGCATTTAATTAAATTATTTTCTGCATCTCTTTGGGTGCAATATTGTACAGAACAAACTGCTTACAAATTCATACATTTTTAGCCTACAACGAAACCCAAGTTTATAATTTTGACATTGAACAGTGCTACTCATTATATTTATATGGTAAGGCCATAAATATTACTTGCATTTATATTCAATATGATTATACTATATTTCCTCAAATCAAACATTCGGCAAAAGTAGCTTTAGAATCAAGGCGTTCTTGGAAATGAATATATTCTGTGACGGAGTGAGATGGGGTAAGACAAAAAGGAATGAAGCGACAAAGACAATCGACGGGAAAATAGGGTAAGACAAAGTGGACTACCGAAAAAGCTCGACCTGAATGAAAAACAGGGCCTGCGGACACTTCATTTGACATTAGAGTCCTATTTATAAAGGCTTCTGGTTGGTTCGACCGCTCAATCGAACTGAGGGCCACATTCCGATGTCCTTGTTACACCCTCCCTCGCGAGTGGGGTGTTTAGGCCTGTTCGGGGCATAGCCCCCTTCGGGTGGTGTGATGGCTCGCGCCCTACTAATACGAGGCGGTCTGGAGTCGCGCCCGGTGTCTAGTCCGGTAGTGAGGGGCCAAGGAGTATTCTTGCTTTGGCCCTGGTGTCGCGATCGGTGGTAGCGGGTGGATCGCGGTCAAGCGAATAAACCACAAGTATTATCGGTTATTAACTGATTAGACTTTGACTTTATTAGTTTAGGAGCTCTGTGTCATATAATGACTATTATAAATCAACATAACACTCTATTTCAGGGAATATAATTTTCCAATGTTCAATAAGAATCGTATCAGCTCCAGTTAATTAGTGATTTCCTAACTGCATTTCACAATCTGTGGCCAGATGCTGTTAGCAAAGAGGAAACTTAATACGTTGGAATTTATATGAGTCGAGGCTAATGGAATGAAGAGTTCGGGTTCCAAATGAAATAGTTCTAGTTTATTTAGCCTTGTGAAACTTGCTTAGCAGTTAGTGTTTCACGAGTATAAGTGCAAAAAGAATGTTTATCATATTAATATTGTAAAGTCAATATTTGTATATCTAATAGGGTATGATTCCTCAGTAAAACGTACAACAAAAAATAAATTTGACAATCTTTTGAGCTGTAGTGTGTATTGGTATGTTATCTAAAGCTGGCGGCTTCAACACATTTACACTTTGTGCTTGTGTAGTGTCTGTGAATAAGCGCGAGGCGTGATGTCAAACTGAAATACATCATGAAAAGACTGTCCGTCTCTCTCGCGCTCGGTCAAGCTTATGAGTATAAAAGAGACAGTTATTGTTTTGCTTTTGCTACTGTTTATGTTGATCTTTACTGTACATGTTGATCTTTTTTCAAACATTACCAGGGCAATCTCGTGAAATGGTGCACAATGTTTTTAATTATTTTAAGCATCTTAATAAAAACAGTTTAATGAAAAAATGTAATATTTAATTTGACATCAGATGCGACTGGGGTTTCTAAGAGGAGTATTGAAAGAATAGTTAGTGAAGTAAAAGTGTGTTGAGCTAGATGGAGCTTATGTCGACAAATGAAAAATTATTTACACAAACTACTCTTTTACGTTCTTGGTCGGGCTTAGAACTTTTGGATCCAGCCTCGTATGCACATAATATTTATATTTATTTACAACCCACCCAACCTTACTAAAACCAGAGTAGACTAAAATATATAGCTTGGCAAAAAAGTCATATTTTTAAACATACTGTATAGTGAAATTGCATTAGTGTGAGTACTGTGAACGCGCCAGCTTTCGGTAACCGACCATGAGGCCGGCTACTGGCTTCACGCTTACCCTTCGTCATATACAGGAACATTTCTTGGGCCTGACACGCTCCAAATCGCAACCTGTCTACGTCTTGGGGTTCCGGTCTGCTTTTCTCATAAATGTCCCTGTGGCAATGATGTCGTCAAGCTACGACATCACGCACTGTCATGCCAAAAAAGTGTTGGCCGCTTCTCGAGACATGCCGCACATAACGATATCATACGCCGGTCCCTTGCCACCGTCAACGTGCCAAGTCTACTTGAGCCGACTGGTATTGCAAGAGACGATAGCTAGAGACCGGACGGTATGAGTTTGATTCCATGGAAGATGGGCCGGGTGCTGATATGGGATGCAACCTGTTCAGACACGCTGGCCTCTTCCCATCTACATGGAACCAACAACAGAGCTGGTGGGGCTTGTGATGCGGCTGAAAAAGCTAAAGCATCAAATTCTAGGCTCCGAATATGATTTAGTCCCATTCGGTGTCGAAACCCTTGGTCCGTGGGGTCCTAGCGCTATAAGGAAAATAGCAAAAAGGTTAGTCGACATCACAGGAGACCAAACAGCTGGCAGTTACCTCGGACAAAGATTTAGTCTAGCTATTTAAAGGGGGAACGCTGCCAGTATCTTCGGAACCTTGCCTAAAGGGACGCCTTTTAATGATATATTTTAAATTTAGCTATTTTTTATTTGTAATATATTTTATTTTGTATGTCATCTCAACATCGTTTTGAGTGATTTTGTAAAGAAGCGTTACCTACACTCATCCAAAAAGTCCCTGACATCATAAAGAAAACAACCTCATGCATTTAACTATTATAAACTTATTGGCCCACTCAATGCATCGCATATATAAGACTTCTAACAATCGCTGTTCTAAAAATCGAGCAATGTTGTAGCGATTTATTTATTTGAGCGAGCGTCAATCGCGTTAGCTGATTGAATAGACGCGTTAATTACTTTGTTATTCACAGTTCTGTATTTATATTGAGCTACCACAGTAATTCGGTGCTCTGGCATAATGATGAGCCAATAACTCTAAAATAATACTACTACTAACTAATTATTCGACACTCACTGGCTGAGGCTGAAAACTAAGTTTTAATACATATACTTAGTATACACAAATTTATAATAAAAAAGTAGTTTATTAGAGAATGCTACACATAATAATACATATAAGATAAAATTCAGGTAACTCTGTTCTTCTATTGCGCTTGAAATATATATAAAGCTTCGAACATTTTAATAATGGACGAAATACAAACTCAAATATGGTACATGTAATATGAAATTCACGAAGACGCTGCGTCTTCGAGTAGACATTTTCGACGATGTTTTTATTTTCAAAGGTTTTAAAGATACTCAGCGAAAAACGTGCTCTCGTTCAAGAAATTGAAGTTAAATAGATTTCCTTAATTCTAGAGTGGAGATTTCGATAACTTTCATAAAGTGGTAGAAGTAACTTTCTAGCTGCATTCTGTGATCGTATTATGTAAAATATTGATATTAAAGTTATATTAATTTTTTATACAGAATATTTCTTTAAATTTAAACAAACTCATCCATCCAATTGGTTTATTCTAATTCGAAACATTCGTATGCATTTTGTTACAGACGGCGACCAAGGTGGAGACACACGCTTGCCGACATGCAACCAAAAAGACTAATTTACACAAAAACCAGAACCAAAAAGTCATTCCTTGTAAGTTAATAGACTATTTAATAAATTGCATTGTCATTTATATGTTAATAAATGCGGTAAACGTATAGAAATATTTTTTTGTATCAAAACTTAATTAAAAACCATCAACCAATATAAAACGATGTTTGTATACAGCTCATTTTAGCTCGTGGTAATATAAATTTCGTTTAGGTAGTACATGATAAAGGACTATTCAACCTTCAAACGTGAAAAAGGAATAGGTTAAAACTTTGAGTGTAATAAGTATTTCATGACTTCACGAGCACAAGACATCCACTAACAAGAATTCGTCAAGACAACGCGAAACTTGTAACTCTTGAAAACATCATGCAACAGAATGTAACGTTTATCAAGCTTTAAAATTTGTTTCGACATACTTCATTAATTTTTACAATTGAGAAATATTGACTAAACTAAAGACGGACTTTAGTTTTTGGCGGCAACAGTTGTACATTTACAATCTCGAAATTTACGTACATATATATTTAATGTTTTATACAAGAAATATATTGGGCTCCTTCATTGATGTTAATTTAAACTAAACTATGTTAAGTCACTTAACTAACTTGTGTGAGAAATTCGTCTTCATTTTGCGGCATTTTCGTTTCACAGACGACTACAACAGAGTGGTGCTACAAACGGTAGATCGCGAGCCAGATTCCGACTACATTAACGCTTCCTATATAGATGTGAGTACCAAAAGTTTAATAAATGAGGCTTTAGTTGCAAGTCACGTAGTAGGTGTAAGTATGCCGGCCCAACTACATTTTCGTATAATTTTATTAAGCCCTAGACGTTTGTTTGTTCCAATGTATAGGGCCGTCCTTACTAAATCTATTCAATACAGTCCTAGTTAGTCCTAGTAGTTTAAAAAAATATACCTACCTATATTGTAGATTGTTTTTGTTAAATAATATTGAATACATGGAAAGTATAAACTACAGTAATTAAAGTATTACATACTAGCTGAACCTGCGACCTCCGCCTTAATTAGATTTTACTTTGATTACCTAGTCTTTTTTTAATTTTTCTCGCCATAAATGCCTTCCTCAGAATAAAAAAAATTCTGTCTTCGAGTTTTGCGCTTAGCAATATTATTTGCGATCCGTTTTTTTTTTAGATAAATGTGAAATGAAAGATTTAAAGTTTTTACATTTTTATATTAACGCAGATTCAACGAATTTACCGAAAGATATTATTAACACGCTTCATGAACATTAGCGGTATTTACTTTTCCTTCCACGAATATAAACTACCCGTATTTGCAGACTTACATAAAGTAAATAACGCAGATGTATATGTAGCATAAACAGTTATTACGGTATCCTTCCCAAGTCGAGAACAAAACGTGACACGAGTGGCAACTAGGGCAGAACTCAGATCACAATATCACGAAAACCACTTCCCAGGCGGAAGAAATCGGCCCTTTGCCTTTATTACGGTTGTCTTAGGTATGTAATGAGTCGTGTTCCAACTCCACTTCATCACAGATATAACATTTCGGCACAATACTTTCTCACTGTCTACTGCCCTTTGATTACTTTATAAGGATGTTGACATCTGTTCATCTATTACGTGTTATTACAGTTTACAGTACAAGTTAGTAACTGATTAGAAGTATTCTGAGATGCGTTAAAGTAGTCTGTCCGTCGTCAAACCGTTATTATACCTTTTTATTTGTCCACAGAGTATATTAAAACCAAACGCATACATAGTGACTCAGGGGCCAACAGAAGAGACGGTGGTGTCGTTTTGGCGAATGATTTGGCAGGAACGAGCCGCCGCCATCGTTATGCTTACCAAGACTTTTGACTTCATTAAGGTAATTTGAACCTTAACTTTGTGTTACAGAGGCTAGAGAATTCCCGTTCTTTATGCTATATAAAATGTAATGCAGAGATGTAGGTAACTTTTGTAAATGTTTTGCAACGGAAATTAATGTTGTTATAATTATGGAATACGGGTTTCGCTATCATTATTACCGCTAGGAAAAAATAGCATGCTTTTTACTTCAAATTCATGCTTCACTAAACGATAAAATAAAAATCTTCCTTATAGATCACTTCACATCTGAAGACTCAAAAGTAAAACAACATAGATCTGAAAATAAAACAAATATTGTAACAGGAATTAAGTTCGGTGGCGGTTGTTGTATGGAGATGTTTAAATATAACTCTTTGTTTGAAGCAGGGTAACAACTGACTTTAATGGTTTACAATAATATGAGCTTATAACTAACACAAAATTAGGGCAGAGGGGTTGCGACGCTAACAAAAACAAACCTAAATCTAAATGACACGTTATTGAACATTATCGGAAACGAGAATGTTAAAATACAATTTAGAAGGGTGGTAAAAACTAAAGGACCCATATTGGCTTCAAGTGTGATGATTTATCTAAATTTTGTTAACGATTACAATTAGTAACTAAAATATTTATATGCAACTTAACTAACGTTGGGTTACATAACTCAGGTTACTAATGTTTAATCAATTTCCATATATACTTCCGCTACTTTGGCTTTGATTGATGAAATAGCTTTCAATTTTAATCGGTTTTAATTATTAGTTGCCTTTATACGTAGCATGCATACTTCCCGTTGCGAAATTAAATAGGAATTGAAAAATATATATTAGTTATATATTATTTGGGCAGGAATAACTTTTCATCTGGCTTTATATGACCCATACAATCGCCATGGTACATGAAAATGTTTAACATTGTAATAATTGGCCATAAGCGTTAACGGGAGTGAGGATTAATTCCCAAAATTGTGCAATTGTGTTAATCCTTATCGCTAGAGGGATTTCTCTGAAATAACGTACGATTTTGTGTTTTTAATTATATTTTGACAAAGTTCCAACCAAGTGGTAAACATATATGGTTTTTATAAAATAATCTGTTGGGTGAAATCAATATTCCCCTCATTAACTCCACGTCCGGGTTCATCATCTTTTCCAACTGTGGGGTGGAAACAACACAAGAACACTTATTATGAACCGGTAGAATGAATATTAAACAATAGAACAAATAGAAACCATAAATCACACACCATATAAAAATCAATAAAGATCAAGATTATTTAATTTCTATTTCCTACAAAAAAAAGATACACCAATTGAGCCTCGGCAACTATTACCAAAACCAAAATAAATTAAATATCTTGAAAATATCTGCACATAATGAATATTTACCTAACTTATTAATAATAAATAACTTCATAAGAGACATAACATTTTATAGTCTACCGCAAAAACATTCTCATATACACAAAAATATTATAAAACCGAAATCTGAGTCACAATGGAGAAGTAAAAAATAAGTAATAGTTCAAACTAAAATGTTTGGCATATAACCCAGGTTTGTTCTCCTACATTGCTGGCGGCGGCGGGTCTTATTAAAAAAGGATTGATCACTTTAAAATTTAATCCATTAACAAGATTCTTGTCATGTTATATACAAAATTACAAAAGACACCAAGTCCCTTGTTGCTCTCAAAAAGAAACTAAGTTATACCTCGATTACTTCCTCGTCTATTAAACCTTTTACCATCCCCTTTCAGAGAATCGTTCTAGGTTCTAAAGTTGCTATTTCTAGGATGTGTAAGTTAGCTAATAAATTTTCCCCTGAGATTGGTTCTTACTACTAACAGTTTGGCAGAGATATTTTATTCCAATTTTTTCAATATCTTATTATTTATGTTTAGACCTAATATTTATAATTTGTAAGAATTCTGTTAATTATTAATTTCTATTCTAGTTATTAAATTCTGTTAGATATTGTTATTTTGGTGTAGTTCTAGATGTAAGATTTTATTGTAATGCCCGTTGGCTAACCTTTTTTAAATGAATAAATAATAAAATATAAACAATATTTAAAACCAGACACAGAAGCACGAAAAAGCCAAAACTTCTAGTAAATATAGTAACCTCCTTGTGTGTACAATTTTATTAGTAATTGTTGTGTTGTCTTTATAGTATCTATCAGGAATAGAGATTTTGTATATTTGTTATCAATAAGATAATTGTAAAAAAAAAACAATGCGGGCTTACAGTCAACACAATAATGAACATTAATTTTAGTTTTATTATAATTGCGAAACCATACAAATTTACAATATAATTTAAGAAAAATAAAATATGAGAAAAGTCCATTAAAATAAATTGTAATCAGCATGCATAGTACGGGAGCGGTAATTTATAATATTGGTAATACAATTTGCCCTCAGCGCGAACACCGCTTCAAATAATTAAACTGAACGTTGCTTTGCAAATAACATGCCTTGCGCGTAATTTTAATTAACAATAACAGAGATTATTAGGAAGCTTGTATCTCGCAGCACACTGTTTCTCACTGTTTCACTATAATAACCTATTAATTGAACTCCAACAAGCTTAGGTCTCTCTTACTCAAGTTCACCGAAACTTCTTCATACGTTTCTAAAACACTGATAATTAAAAAACACTAAAGTGCCACTGGTTCCGGTCCGTTTCGCTTTCAAAAGAATGTTTCGCAATAAAACAGTATTAATTTCACCAGTGACCCTGTCAACCGCGGCAGTATTTTCATGGCCCATAAAACTCAATGGCGATTATGATAAAAGTTTCTCCAGTTTTGGCACTGGTTGCAATATCAACGTTTGCACTTGTTTTGGAACAAATTCGGTCACTGTTACGTAATTTCCTTTGCATATTAGATAATGCACAAGCGCTCATAATACCGGTAAAGCTATTGTGTGTATTCTTATACAAATCTTGGCATTATTGATGTAATTTTGATTTACCGACAGGTGATGTGTGTCCAGTATTGGCCGGCCAGCAAAGACAAGGACGAAACATATGGAGACATAAGTGTAGGAATAGTTCAAGAAGAGGAATTAGCTAATTTTCACATACGAACCTTTCGACTTTATAAAACTGAGAAAAATGTAAGTTTAGTTTTAATTATTATTCTTTATTTTTTAAGTATAAAATTATGTTCCCTTGTTAAGCTGCACACACATTTAATGGTTCACCAAGTGTGAACAATAGTGATGAATTTAAAAATATATAAAACGATCTTTGTACAAAATTTCTAAGCATTAGTCTGGATTGTTCAAGTAATTCGTTACATTTTCTTCCCGTGGGATTTTGTTGAAAAAAAAAACGTATAGAATTACCTTGAGAACGTAATAGCATATATGGGCATGTACAATGCAATATGTATGTCGTAGTACGGTGTGGGTGCTACAATGTTTGTAATAATTGGATATCTACGTAAGAAGCTACGGCGCGGCCGTGGAGTCGCGCTCTACGGTGCAGCTCCCACTAGATCTTATCATATTATTGGAGGCTAGAGTTACTACTAATTGAAAAATAATCTAATGCAATATATCCCAAAGTGTATTTATTCTTAATGAAGTAGTACTTAGTGTTTTATTAATAAAACCTCAGATTCGAATTATATTTGAAAACTGTTTCATACTTTTCAACCAGCCTTATTATTTTCTTCTCATATTTTTCATTTCATTTTTGCTATTAAAGTGTCAGATATGAATGCATTTCAATGTAGACCTACTTCAGCGTTAAGTTTCAAATGCGCTTAAGCGTAGCACTGAAATTTTAATAAAATCATTATTAAAAAAAATTCAAAAAGAGAATTCGCTTGCGTTTTGGAAATGATTTATATAAGCTACGGCCGTTTTTATTACGCTATTTACATGGAAACATACGCACCTATGATGACAAAATTAAACTATTTGTAAAGATCTTCCAGATTAGAAAGAAAAGAATTTTACCTAGAACCAGTGTAATAAGACTGATTAAGTTGGAGAGGAGCCATTAAAGCCCCGTCCAGTCAATACAATTGGAAATAGTTATCAGCCAAATTACATTAGCTTCAATACTGGTTTATCTCAGTCATAATTTATTGTGAACTCCATAATCGTCCTCCTTTTTCAATTAAGTATGTTTTGTTTGGCTGTTGCAGGTGGTGATAGAAGAGCGTTTTTTACTTCAATTTCACTATACACAGTGGCATTCGCATACTTGTCCATTCGGTAATGCCCTATTAGAGTTTCGAAGGAGGGTCAGGGCCGTGGTTGGGAGAAGGTTAGCAGCCAGCACCGCGACGGGACCAATGGTAGTACACTGCAAGTAAGTTAGTTAAATTTTCATTTCAACTATTTTATAACATTTATATCCCTTTTTCATGATAAAATGTAATTTCGATACAAATCATAATTTAATTGGCCCGACGAAGCCAATTAAATGAATATGCCAGCATGCCTTTGCGTCAATTCAAAGCGTTCATCAAAAACACATTTATCTTAATGATAAAACAAGTTGTGTCTGACATATTGACCCACTTTTCCAAACAATTTAAATTCTAGCATCAAACAAGATCATTAACCTTCGTTCCGAATACATTGAACATAACGAGAAATAAAATACTCAGAATGTATATACATTGCCAGTCAGTATACAACTTGGACAACGCTCTTCGTTTTACGACTTGTACTATTTTATTGAACGTATCGGCTTAACTTATTACAGATATTTTGATCGTCACCGGTAGCCAAACGCTATACACCATTCATTGTAAATCCTAGATTGGTGAAGTTATGCTATTAGACCAATTGAAATTATACTAACGTAGAAAGCTTTCGACTGATTAAATAACAAGCTTAATATGTCATTGCAGTAAGGTAACTGCAATGACATATTAAGCTTGTTAACACTGCATTTCACTTTTAAAACTATTTATAAATACCCTTTACTTTACCCAAAACAAGTCTACTTAATATCAAGATAAGTGCCAATGAAAATCCCACTTGATGTCGACAATAGTTTTTCACACGGAGTCTTTACTGTTCTCGTAAAGAATTTCCAACTTTTCTAACCCCTCCGCCAAACAATGGCAATTTACAATTCTGTGAAAGGTTTTATGCTTAAATAAGAAGCTGTTTACTCGCGCATGGAAAGGTACCAGATGAGTGATGACAGAAACCAAAATACAACCAATTAACATTATCTTAAATATATAAAACAAAGTCGTGTTAGTTACACCACTTATAACTCAAGATTGGCTGGACCGATGTTAGTTATCTCTTTTTTGGTGGATTCTTCTCCGCTCCGAGTAGCAGAATAAGTAATAAAATATCGGATAAGTTATCGAAAAACAATAAATTAATTAATTAATTTTACGAATGCAAACAGCATGTGGTGCCATCTGTTGAAGAAATAAGAAAGTCAAATTCCATCAAATCATCAAATATCTGCAAATATGTCACGAAAGTGACAAACCTCTAATACCAACGAAATAAAACATTTCTGTATTTACAAAAAAAGTTATATTACTGTATAATAACATGTATGAAATCCTAAAGTAAGTTTAACTAAAGTTAACACGATATTATTAGACTGTTAGGTGGAACGATGTTCGCCGGGTCAGCTAGTTAACCATAAAAACCCTCTTATAGGTAAACCATATATTTACTTGAAGGACCATTATTGTTTAATTTGATGGACTAGCTCATTACCTTACATGACTGAGCGTGTCATGTGCAATTAATAAATGTCCTACACGTTACTGAAATTTCTCACCCACTGAATTGATTTTAACAATTATATTGGTTGGTTTCATGATGTTCTCTATAAGTAACATGTTTATATAATTGCTCCTCATTATAGTGACGGTGGTGGACGTTCAGGAGTATACCTAGCTGTCGATGCAAATTTAGAATTGGCTGAAGAAGAAGACTGCTTTGACGTTTTTGGTTTCTTAAAAAAGCTACGACAATCTAGAAAAGGGCTTATTGAAAATGAGGTGAGTACTGTTACAATCTTATTTCGATCGCCGAACCTAGCGATTTACAATAATGCCTGCAGTAATATAAAAGTAATTACTAACTTTAATAAATTACTTGAACAGGAACAATACAAATTCGTATACGATACTCTAGAAGAACACGTGGTCTGCGGCGTGAGCTGGTTTCCCGTATCAGAGTTGTCTCAGCGGCTGAAGCAAAAGTCTCAAAGAGATCCCGCGAATAAGCTCAATGAATATCAGAAAGAATACCAACAAATCTGTAAGCAAACTCCAAGATTCACGATCGGTGACTGCGCTGGTGGTCATAGAGGGGATAACAGAGAGAAAAACAGAGACGTTCTTGTTGTACCACGTACGTATTAATAGATTAAAATAAAATATGTTTTTTTGGAATATAAGATACATACAGGTATCACTTACTCCACGTCGTTAAATTTTAATCGGTAGACATCCCTACTCATCGGCAAAGAAGACGGAGGGTGTAGGCTGAGAGAAAAAGCCGGCGTAAAAAACTCTCGGCACTCTTTTAAAATAGCAAATCATTAAAACCACACTTATTTTAAAACAAATATCGCAAATTAATAAGAAGCCGCCTGTATAGCACTAGTCCCAGGCCCTTTTATCAACTAAGTAATTGTACAATAAAGTTTATACTATTTTTCTCTTAATTTTTAGTAGATTGTAAAACTGTGGATATTAGAAATGGATAATTAATTTCAATACATTATAAATGTTTTAAAAATATACAACAAATAAAATTTTAAGGGTCACAGACGCGTCGAAGCGTGAAGTTAGGCTTTCAGGTATAAAAAATACTCGGTATTTTCATGTTACATATTTTACCAGTCAAAGCATAAATTTTTAAACATCGTAAGTTTTAGTGCCTTTGCATTTATACTCTCACAACATAGAATTAAAACGTAGGTAACTTTTACCTTACATAGTATTTACTTATTTTAAAATAACTAAATATGTCAAAACCTTTTTCAGCTGACAACTTTCGACCATATTTGACATCGTTTCAAGGCAACAGCTTCACCGACTACATTAATGCGGTTTTTGTAGACGTATGTATCTCTAAACCAACTCAATAATTGTTTATCTCTATAAAAAAAACAAATTAATGTAATTAAGATAATGTTCTAATTCGCAATTACAATTTCTCCTAGGGTTACACAAAACCTCGTGAATACATAGTGACTGAGTGGCCATTAATACGGACTCAAGGCGAGTTCTGGTCCCTTGTGTACGACTACGAGTGTGCAGCCGTTGTTGTTCTCTGTGTTCCTCCTAAAAACTCTGTAAGTCTCTGGAAAATGTATCTTTATTTTGCTTTTAAGACTTGTCTTAACATTAGGTCAAATCAAGTTAAATTATTGAAATGAAACTTCTTTCGGCGCATGAGGCTAAATTTTTTACGGATGAAACGCAAATATAATAATATTTGCGTCACGAAAATGTTTGTCAAAGAAAAGGGAGAGAGCGATTGAGACATATTGAGAGAGAGTGAGAACAGTGATTTAGACTTTATAAGCCGTTTTTCTACAGCAACAGTATCCTCCATTTTGGCCTGAAGGACGACATTCTAAGAAATATGGACCCGTCTTCACTATCGATCACGTCTCACACAACCATTACACTAATATAAAAACTTGGATATTTAGAATTAATAAGAAGGTGAGTGAGTTACCATTGTTCTATCAATTTCAATTGCGAAACTATGGACTATATTATGTTGTTTTAATAAGTTGCCACGTTTCTATAATGTTATTGTTTTTATTCAATTCTATACAATGTTTTAAAAACAAATAAACTTCCAACAGATCGTATCACTAACAGAACTAATGGCGGGTGTAAAAGCTCCGCCTAAAACAGTACAGCTATTCCAGCTAACTTGCTGGCCAATGGGCCACAAGGTGCCATCTTCAACCAATTCACTCGTGGAACTCATGAACATGGTTGAACGCTGGAGACAGAGGACTGACTATGGGCCTGTCTGCGTTGTCTCGCCGTATGTATTCATTTGAATCATTGATTAATATAATTAGGAACAAATATGAGTGAGTGAATGAAAGTAAATTAAATTTATTGGTGATTAAAATTATTGTTATCAGTGATGGTCGGAGTCGAGCGGGAGTCTATTGTGCAGCCAACGCTTGTATAGAACAAGTAATCCAACACGGTGAGGTTGACGTGTTTCAAGCCGTCAAGACTGTACGCCGACATCGACCTCAGCTTGTCGAGAATATGGTAAATTGTGTTTCACAAAATTTGTTGTGAGGAAGCTTTCAAAACCTCTCAGTTCAATAATATGATGTTGAAATTATTTCTTCAAACCATTTTTTTCTTTTTGACAGACGGAATATAAATATTGCTACGACCTAGTTTTGCACTACGTACTTCACTATTTAAATAAAGATATGAATGAGAAGAAGTGAGAGTGCGAGCTCAAAGACGAGCTCTGGTTCATAGAGTTCGGGCGGGGACCAGCGTTACCTACGACTCCCGAGGAGACCAGCCCTCCCGTGGTCCCACGTGCCTCCCAGCGACCTGTAAGACCACGGCGTGGCCTATCACTCGACCGTCTGATGCCAAACACGGCACGACCACCATTGCACCATGCCGTGACAATGGAAGCGCCGCGACGCCCTCGATCTAACAGGCCACCACTGCGTCGATCAATTCGTCTCGAAGACGATGAAGGTGCCGCGGAAGAGCGACGCCGTGTTTTCGGCCACGGACCTCGAGCTCCGTCATTTGATGAGGGAGATGTAAGCGACCATGAATGTGAATGCCAGCGTGCATCACTCGAAAGGTCTGGCCCCTCTGCTGAAACGCCTGATGAAGATTACGAACCAGAGTTTGTCGCCTCTCCTCATATGGATAAACCTGACTCACGAACACGCGGTGCTTCAGCAGACCGTGTGCTCGACCAACGTGTACATTTGACTCCTCGCGGACCATCCAGAGCTCACTCTCAGGGCGTGTTCGAAAGACGTTTACCTAAAATATATAAATTAGGGCTTATTGATAAGTCAAAACGAGCAAGTTCGAGCGCCCTTTACGAAAGAGCAGATAGATCGCCCACTGAGGCATTCTATAATGCTACAGGTTCTACACGACTAAGTTCACAAGAACTTTTTGAAAAGTTTTGTTCAGAAGATTTTACTTCTCTATACGGGAGAGAAGAATATAGACCTCGCCGTCCTCCACACTCTAAATCAACTGGAAGCAGTGGCTCAGATGTACGTCACGAGAGAACTTGTTGTCGACGCATACCATGTGGCTCACAACCTGCTTTAAATCGGCGTCATCACTACCACACTCCACGGTCTGATCGGTCAACAGATTCCGACGATACATCGCCCGGGAGAACTAATTTTCGTATTCCTTCAGATATATACGAGCAAAGTATAACTGATTACCCGAGATCAGCTGCACTACTAAGTCCTGATAAGTTCGAAGCAAGGTTTACGTTTGATATATCTGAACGCAGCGAAGTTACTTCGTATCGTGACGAAACTCCGTCGGATGCAACAGAAACGAGAAATCTTACTCTGTATGAAGAGCCCCATTCAGATCGTACGAGTATTTGCGAATTATACGATGCAGCTTTTTCTTCACACCGACCATCATTCAAACGTTATAGTTCACGTCGTCAATGTGGCCCCTTTGATTTAAGCAATCTAGATTTCCGTGCGATTGATGATGAGAGTCCACGAACCAGCCGCCGTACATCGCAGCGAAGTATGGACGATACTATGCGTCAAACTTCAGAATCTCGTAGTTGGGCATCAGATTCTGTTTTCGCTACACCAGAACGTAGAGCGATAACCACTACCACTACTTCACCGTCATCTACAGACACTCGAAAGTTTGTCACGGCCTCGGAGCGTGCAGAATCAGCAGCAGCAGACTCAACTCAAGCTGATACGACTGCGGCTGAAGAACAACCCAGCGTGATTGAGCGATCTGAATACTCCTTAGCACTCACTCTAGGTCGGATAAACATAGACGGTTCCCCAGAAAGACCAGCTTCAACTCCATCAGGTTTAGTTCGCATATCGAGTCGACCTTCAATGCTAAAATTAGAGCCCATAGAACCCGAGAGACTCTGCGGCGGCGCTGGAGAACAAGAAACAATTGCAGCATCACGTAAACGTCGAGGGGCCAGTGAGCCACGCCGCTCGGCTCGATGTTTTCCTCTCTGATGTCGCGCGGCGGCGCTGGCATCGCCGCGTCGCAGCCGCCGCCACTACTCTGTGCCTTTTCGCTGCCGCTTAAAAGCGAACGCGAGTCTAAAATTAGCCCTTCAAAACGAATCGAACACTCGGGCTGTAGAGTCCTGTGTAGTTATAGCTTAGCGGACTTTCTGTGTGTTCCTTTGTAGTAATTGGATAAACACAACGGTCTCTTCGAGGCCAAGCTAGGATATTCTGATGGTTTCAATGTGGTGTACATAAGTTAAGTTATAGATAAGAGGGTATAAGAAAACGGATCAATGAAACCTTACCTTTGTCTATCACTAACGGTAACTGCCAAACTCTTAAGTGTAAATGAATATTTCTTTAACTTTTAATATAAGGTGGTAACGCAACGTCATAGGCTGTGCCTGGTTACGTGCGTAGAGCGTAGATTCTAAATTTCTTAGATAGCGATCCCGAGGCTGAGGCTCACGTCTCGCAGTCCATGACTGACACAGGGTCCTCATTTAGCTTAAACATTACAGGTTCGTAATATATGTCTTTAGATACATGTAATTAGAGTCAGATTTATTGTTATAGTTTGAATAATATAACTTCACACCCTAATCCAGAAAGGACAAAGTTTGGCAGCAATTCTAACTTTGTTTTAATGTTTTAATATTGTTTACGTCCCGATCGTTTTAATGTGTCATTAATTTAATAATATCTTTTAATAATTATCCATGAATTTTTTATATTTATAATAGAAATACGGAGAACCAAAGTGATGGTATTATGTGTCATACTTTCTTTAAGAAATACAGAAAATGTACATTAGTCGTCACGTCGAATTATAAACTTCCCTACTCAGTGCGGTCTTTCTAAGGCAAGTTAGACGTAAATATGCATTCGCAATTTCTCAGTTTCCCTTTTCTAGTAAAAAATCTATCCTACAAACTCAAGTGAATTGCTCCTAGATAGTAGCTAAAGACTTAAATATATTTCTGATTGTAATAATTTTACAGAAACATAATGATAGAGTTTGTATCCAATTGATATTGATATTTAATTTTCTTGGAGAGTTATACAATTTTTCTTAGACTAAGTATTGTCCAAAAAATTGTTTATGATACTTTTAAGGTGAATATGTATTTTTGTGTGTAAATAAGTGACGTTTTACATGTTTAATTTGACTGCTTAGTAAACGTTCAATTAAAACAATTTAGACACAGATTTAGCACAACAGACTGATTAATCTGCCAAAACACTAAAATTTTAGAAAAGCTTTTATTTCTTCAGTAGACTTTATTTTAATTTATATTTTCAAGTTACTGCTTAGTACTACATTTTTTAATATTTTATACCAGAAAAGCTGTTTTTTCCATAACAAAATTACATGGAGCTAAAATAATTAACCTTGTATACTCGTATACTATAAGAAATTTTCCACTATATTTAGGATACGAATCCTACCTAGTCATTTATTAGAACTTTAAGTTCCCAGAGAAGTTAGCGAGATGTAATTTTCATTTTTATACATCTAGTCTTAATGTGTAGTTTTTGGGTTAAGTCAACTTTGGCTTCAACCGGCGTAAGATTTTCCATTCGCCATGTGCCAATGTGATGTTTAGTAAATTTTCTTACATTTCAAAGTGTAATTCGTAGCAAAATCAAATATATTTATTTACTTAGATCGTTTACAAGTAAAAATATATAAATAATTATTGGACGCGTATGCGCGATGTATTATTATTTAATTAAATTTCTATGTATGCCCTAAAACTGGCAAATGTTATATATTAGATTTGAGTAGTACTATATTTATTTATTATTGAAGTTTTTATAAGATTTAGATTAGTTATTCGTATGTAATGATTATTGTGTACTGTTTAAATTATATGCGTCCTAACAAATAAACCATTTTCATAGAATATATTCTTAAACGCACAAGTTACATTCTAACAACATTTTGATAAAAATAATTGATAAAAAGAATATCATAGAACCTCTGTATAAATAGCCCCGAGCCTATTTGATGTTCTCGACCCTGCTGCTTGTATAAAATTAAAAAAAAAACTGTTATTTCCTTTATTATAAACAGTATTTTAGACCTAGACGTTCCTTATTGCTCTAGATTTAGATAGTTTAGTTAAACAGATTTATCGAAATACTCTCCCTCGATGGACTTCGTCGCTGGACGCAGTACTTATTTATATTGTAATAAGTTAGATAGAGAAATAGAAAAATAAAGTATTTAAAATGTAGTCGTAAAGGTAAGAATATGGTTTTTGTTCTTTCCCTATTAGCAAGAGGACCTATATCCGGTTTTTATATTTTATTAATGGTTATTGTTTTGTTAAATGTTTAAAAATAATAGATGTGTATAATCGTTTTCTAGTCTTCCCATTTACACTTGTAAACTTCCGCGCTTGCTTTGTCTTTATTGTATTTTGTGCTAATTACGTAAATACGTGGACCATTCTCGATGTTTTAGTACCTATGTGTAAGCACATTTGTCAAAATTTTCATTTTAGGTTCTAAGTAAACTGTATGAAAGTTGCCGCACCGACCATTATCGTTTATATAGGAATAATGGCTCATATTATTTATCTAATAAAGATATGTCTAGTTACAGTACATAGTACGTAAATCATAATGAATATTGTATACTATATACAAGTATTGATGAATTTGGTAATATAGCGAAATACAATTTATAATTATTTATAAAATAATTATTATTAATTACGTGTAATTGTAATATTTATATAGAAACATTGTGATTTCAATTTTCAACTCCCACAACATATTATTGCATTAAATCATTAAAGTATTGTTGTCATGGATGTTAATTAAAGTAATTTTAAAAATTTATACATGGAATTAATGGAAATATATTTATTTGTTGTATAATTCGTCTTTTCATATTTCATATAAAATAAGGTACTTTTCTAGTATTCATTTAATTATTCACCCAAGAAATTAGCGTAAAGAAATCTTTGAGCCTAAAATCGACACCAAGTTTAAGGCCCAAAAGGCTGATCACATATTTAAAATACAATTTATCTGATGCAGAAATATGTCTGCCGCATGCCCTTTGTTACCGATTACTACTATACCGATATTAAACTGTATCACGTGACTAAACGCAGACATTATTTTGGATATAGACACAAATAGTAACCAACTGATAGAACAGATAACATATAATAAGTTAGAAAGGTATTTGATTAAGAAAAATTTTACCAGGGAACTCTTATAAGCTCTTTCCTAAACTTACACCACAAATGTTAGTGATACTGATGCAACAATTGGTGGGTTTACTTTGCTTTACAAAACCCAACTTAGAATAATATAAACAATCGACACTTTGTTCGAATTTAGCCCGACAAGTAAGTTAAGCCAGATTCAGTTTAATTAAAGATCTCTACCCTTTATTATTTTGACTAGAGATTAAATCTCAAAGGCTTTGAAGAAAATTAATCTTAAGATATCCAATAAAAGAGGTGAGTATTTTGTATCAAAACGTTCGTTAAAAGTTATTTAAGGCATGAGAACCCATTACAAATTGTTTCGACTAAGCAATAGCTCTTTGACTGCTAGGGGTTGCGCGCTATTTAATTTAGGAGCGAATTTTCATCAGACCTTAGCATATCACTATTTATCAAATAAATAATACATATTAAAAAAATACATATTTAAATTATATAATTTATAAATAAAAGCATTCTTTCTCAGTCGATAACTGATCGTATTCCTACTTGAATAAGTATAAAAATCTAATGAATCTTAAAAATATTTAGAAAATTAGGGCCAACTGCCCTAGTCCCTAAATAACCTTAATAAACACACTATATAATAAGAATGAAAAATCAAGTCTGGTTGCCTATTATCAGAACGTGAGAGGCCTTAAAACGAAATTACTAACATTCAGAACGAACCTAATAACGCTTATCGGTGTTCAATTGGTCGCTATAACAGAAACAAATCTGGATGGATCTGTATGTGACGCCGAAGTCATTGATGGCGACTGGTCTGTTATTCGCAGAGACCGTGGGCGTCGTGGAGGAGGTGTTATGCTTTTGTCAAAATCACCCTTACATTTGACGCGTTTACCTGAATATGAAAGCAGTGATGTTGAAGATATTTGGGCTAGGTTTAATTTTATGGGCCAGTACGTATACGTTTGTGTTGTCTATTTACCACCTTCAACTTCTGAAAAATTGTATATAAACTGGTTTGGTCATGTAAGTAATATTGTAAAGGTAGTTAGTAATAGCAATAAGATTTTAATATTAGGAGATTTCAATTTTTATAGCTGTAGTGAAAGTTGTATAATGAATTTTAACTGTTTCCTTGCTGAAATGGGCTTAACTCAGTTCAATAAAATATTGAATATGAACGGCAGGGTATTAGATGCAGTCCTTACCGGTGAAGAGTCGAGTAACAGCAGTGTGAATGTGGTAGCGGTAGATTCAGGTGATGAGTTATCCCGAATTGACGCTCATCATCCACCCTTAAAAGTAACTCTTAATTACAAATTTTACCAGCCTGCGCAAACCCGTGAACCATCGAATATTACTAACATAAATGAATGGAACTTCGATAAAGGAAATTTTTTGTCATTATTTTATATTCTAGAGGACGTAGACTGGAGAGAGTTACTTGCTATTGATGATGTCGATGAAGCGGTGGAACATTTTAATAGCATTCTATATAGCTCTTTTGATCAATGTTTTCCTAGAAAATTTCGAAAGTTAACTAAACAAAGGGTCTACCCTGTATATTTTAATAATGAAATCATCGCTAAATTAAGAACTAAAGCGCAGCTCCATTGGCAGTGGAAATTTCTTAATGATAATAACGCGTGTTTAGAATTTAAACGTCTTAGGTCAATCATTAAGAACGACATTCGCAAAGCTAACATTAACTATTTACATACTATCTCATTAAATTTGGTTAATAAACCTACGCAATTTTGGCAATATATTCGTTCTCTTAGAAACCCAAAAGCTAAAGAGTCTGCA